CATCGATCGAGAGGCTTTCGAATGTTCGGGTAAGTGCTGCCTGTTGGCCAATCTGTAGCAAAGTGCGCACGTTGAGGCACGCCAGTCTTAGCGAGGATCGTGGACTCCAAAGGATAACGGATAAAAAGATTTTGTCCGCTTGGTTTAACATGGATTTGTCAATTGGATTGGAGCGACGTCCTGCGACCGTGTGTGAGTTGAAGCTAGAAGACAAGCGACTATTCAAGCAAGGTGAGGGAGGGGTTTGAAAACTGGGGGATGAAAGTGAAGTTGGAACGGGACGCTGAGGATGAAAAGGCGCGAGAGGGGGAATAAGAAGGCGGGAAGGTCTGAGCAGTAGCATCCAAGCCCCTATCAACCCTGCTCGATGCAGCAGATAGGGCGCTGTTTATTATCCTCTGCGACGGCCAGAGCAGCAAGAAGTTGTCAGAAAGAAAGGTTATGGTGTATTGTATTGCTTGGGCAGGGTACTGTCAGGTTGCCTAGGGCCAGACAGGAGAAAGATTAGGGTTCTCAACCAAACTCTTTGGTTCAAAAACCTGGCCGCGAGGCAGCGGGGTTTTGGTACTGGAGTAAGGAGTCACCCTCACTCTAATCCCGACCTGGAGGGCCAGAAGACTGAGTTTGTCTGGCCTCTAACCATTGACCAATCTGGTATGAGTGGCCCTGACGGTACAAAATAGCACCACCCAGCAAAGCTCAATGGATCTCTGAGACACACAAACCACCTCACCACGTTAAGGTCCAGTCTCATCTCGAGTAGGTGCTGAAGCCAAAGCTCCAGAAGGATGGAGTCATCCATTGATTACGAGCCGAGGAGTCTCTTCACCTCAGGCAATCGGACGGATGCTCTCGCGTCTTCTAGGCGCAGGCCATGGAATTGTTGTTTTCGTTTCGTACTCGCTGGTTGTTCCATTTGAATCACGATATCCTGCTTAAGAGACTCAGAAGCAAGATCCGTGTTTGGGCTCGAAAGTATGCATCTGAGCTGTGAAGCGCAGCCCCTGTGGAGGATACCCAGCAAATGACTACATTTAGGTTTTTGAAAATCGCGTTAAAAAGACGAAAGCTGGTAGATACATGCATCTACCATGCAAAGCCTCATACTTTAACAAGACAAACCAAAAAAGAGCGTCATCAAATAGGATGGGGGGACAGACAGCGATGCGACACTAATAGATGAACTGAAACTGTTAGTATCTGAGTGAGCCACAAAATAACAGTTGTAAAAAGGTAATTCATGGAGAAAAGGAACGTGCTCACCAACAATGATTACGGCGATGGCGGAACCGTGCTCGCAGTCGCGGTCATCAATCGTGGGGTGCTACTCAGATTCTAAGCACAATAGGTGGTACGGAACAGACGTGCTGAGTACAGAAGTAGGGAGAACAGTGTGATCTTCTGGACCCAAGGTGTATTGACAAAACCTACAAAGAATGGAGGACAGATAAGCAGACAGCAGTATACAGCGTGACTAACCAGAAGCGCGAGTGATCAGTAAGTACAATCAGATAAACAATAAGCGATTTCAGGATCATCTACTCCACACCTAAGCCATTTTTGCGCGGATTCCGAAAGCAACTCCTATTCATCCCTGAAGCTATCTCAAGTCAAGACGGATGTGTGAGCACAAAAACAATCTTTATGCTCCTTCCGCCTACCGTAGCCTACGACTGACGTTATACGATCCATTGATTTATGTCCCAGGTGATCTTTGTTTGTGAAAGGGATTTGCCCTTGTACATAATCTGTTATCTACAGTGACAGCGTGATTTATGGATTCGTTTCCGTTGGAATTAAACTTCTAATCAACACGCAGCTTGTATCTAACGAGAGTTATCGATAAGAACTCCTCATCCAGAATCGGCGTCCTTTTGGTTCATCTCATTAAATGCGTTATTTGGATTGCCGAGGATTAGCATCCGTGGAGATTCAAACAAATTTTCTCAAGTTTATTCTTTTAGAGTTCCTTCCTCTATAGTCGTATTACAAATGTCCAGCATGCAGTGCTTATATATACCTTCGAATCGGACTCAGCCTCTGCCTTAGCAGTGCCGGACCAGTCCCAACAATGGAGCGCGATGGACTTGTCTGCCATAAACTGATTAGGATGGTAGGAGCAATAACGTGCATGTTCTAATTTTACAAGCGAATTGCGCCCCTGTAACTCCAGTGCAAAATTAGCGACCATGATGGAGTCATCTGCAATTTTGATTACCAGTTTGTGGAGGAGAACAATGCTAAGACGTCTATGAAATGCAGAAATTAGTAGGTAGATAGCCATGGACCCTTACAGGATCCTAAACCTGAGCTATAAGGATTCCAGGTTGAAAAGATTTCTTTAACAATAAACTGCCGTAAAAGTGTATGTGCTCAACCGAATCGAACGGGACCTACAGTCTGGAGAATGGCATCACACTATGTTTTCTGTAAATATACCAGCGTTCCTCCACTTGGGGAATCGTAAATATATGACCAGTGGGAGCAAGTCTTGCTTTGTTGATTCCATTTTCTAAGTGACCAGTGTGTCACAACCGTTTGCTGCCTACGCGTCGTCTGTAAAGCTCTGACACCAGAGCTTTTACTCCGATGATTATTCTACGGTATCCTTTGACAGTACGATTCGAGCGGATCTGCTAGCCTGACAACCGCGTATCACTTTCGTCTTTCAGCACCAACGGACGGGAACCGCCGTATCCGTGTGACTTATTTCGCCCTTACTTTTGATCGGTTTAATTCTCGGCGCGTTTCGTGCCTTTCAAGTGTTGTATCCCTAAAAATACGGAAGACCAGAGCAGCACCGGAAAGTATGTATGGAGAAAACTGTCCACACACAGGCGTAGTACAATTAAATCGATGGAGGTTCGAATTGCAACCAATCAAATGCATGATCACATGGCTAGACCCACGAGAGCTACATAGAAATGTGAGTAGGATAGGCGAATCAAGAGCAAAAACAAAGTAAAATATTTGAACACGACATTGTCCCCTCCTCTGTTCGTAAAATTCTAAGCCCTACATGTCCATGAACGAGCTAATTTAATGTCAGCACCCCGAAGAATTGTCATGTGGTGTTATCCGTTAAAGCGTATCGGTAGACAAAGCGGCGTATCCAACCGGATCGTCATAAGTTTGTATTAGTTTGTACCTAGCGCCTTGTTGTAAATGTGTTCGTCTGTTCAATAGCACCTTGGGAAAGCGCCGTATGCAGCCGTCTTGCATTCGCCTTTGTGCCATCAGCCAACTTGTAAGTTTCTGGCGTTCACACAGATTCCACACGGGTCGGCGGTCCGAAAACACTACCTCCTTTCCGGGAATAGGGTAGTCGCTCACGAACAAATGTCCCTGGAGGATAATTTCTCCCAAAGCATCTATATTTAGCTTGGTAAACAGCCCGACTTTCGTGTCCCCGTGACAGTCGTGAATAATAATGCTGCTGCACAGAGTGGCAAGCCACAATTCCTTATTGTTCCGGCTATGTGCCAAGGCTGTTCTCCTGGCAGACCTGTACATGACTTTGCTGAAACACAGACCACTTATTTATGCCCCTAACAAAACTGTCTTCCTCCTCCTCCTCTCACAATGCCTTCTGTGAGCCCTTCGGCAATAACACCCTATCCGCTTAAACTCAATCACCCTAAATTACCACAGCAATCTTTTTGCATTCCCCACCCCACTAATCCCGATAAGACTGGCGAATCTCACGGTAAGGGATTTGCTGCGTGAAGCTCTAGAACTAATGTGATTGCAAGAGTAAATACTGTGGAATGATGAACAGAGCCAAGACTTTGTAAGATTGATGATAACTAATATCCATTTGCTGTTGGATAAACTTCATTTACGCACTTTTATAAGTCTGAATAAACCTGATAGAATTTTACTCACTGAAACCTGGTGTCATAAATCTATGCCCAGCCAGCTGCTTTCTATCGAAGGTTACAAGCTTATTAGAAGTGATAGAAAGCAAGGCAGAGGAGGTGGTTTCATAATTTACTACTTACAGAAACTCCTTGTGTCTGAATTCACACTTCCACTTATATGCCCCACTATTGATTCCGCTTGGTTACTCTTGTCCTTCGGTAATAAGCGAACTCTTGTAGGCTGTATATACCGCTCACCCTGGGCCAGCCTCACACATGCGTGACGTGCGTGCTACTGGTTCATTTGGATTATTTCCCTCTATCCTCTCTCCATCTTCTCTCAGCGTTGTCACTGTACGCTCATTCGAACCGGATTTACCAGCTCTACACAGTGATCCATCATACGTGGAAATATCTTCTACGATTAGAAGCTGTGCCATCAATAAGCGTTTTTCACTGGCATCTGTGATTAAGCGCAAGCGTTTAATTCAATCGTATTGAGCCGATTGCCATTGTGTGTGACACCATTCGATACAGAATTCTCGAGGCAGGCCGAAAAGCCTAAGCTTACTCCGATCCAGTGTTTCTCAACACAGCTGTGAAAGAATCTGTGATCTGTCAATCTTTGTTCAGCGCTCTGTTCAGGTTCCAGTCACTCGCCATTCCTTGTGACCTTGTCAGCCAGTGCGGCTGCATTACCCATCACACGGACCGCGCGACCACGCCGACCGCTCATTTGACCTTGCAACCACCACGCTCGCCTGACTGATGTGCGCCGCTCGCAAAGCTGTAAAAGTACAGAACGCTAACCAACCCACTGGGTCAGGTAACGAGACCGAATTGAATGGCAGAAAGGCGAAACCGAAGAGACTCCCATCGAAAGGCATTTGCGGGTTAGGAGAATGTCATCGGGTAGTAAAAATCGGTCTGGCTTGTTCGCACTGTTTAGCATGGTACCATACGAAATGTGCAAATGTGTCCCAACAACAGTTACGGGAGCGAAATAGCTCCCAAGATGCATTTTGGTTCTGTACTGCGTGTTCCACCATCCCCCTGGTTAAGTGCTTGCTTATCCTAGCTGAGAAATGCGACCGGTTAATCGCAGAAGCAGAGCAGAGGATAAACAATGAGATTACTTCAATGGGAGCGAGTATGGACCACAGAAGCGTAGCGGCTGCTAAGCAACGGAATGCTGAACAAATCGCTTCCCCTGCACCGCAATCAGCCATGTCTCCATCTCCGTTGTCTTCTCCAACTTTGGTAGAACGCCGGGCGAAAACAGACTGTACCTACGTGAATCAAGCAGTACTCACAGCAAAGAAAATCAGGCACCATTCAAAACGTCTGGTTAAGCAAATTCCACTAGACCTGACATCTAGTATTACCAAGGATGGAGCAGCCAAACACCAACCCTTGGTACCTGTAGCTCAAATATCTCTTGTCGAGACTAAGCCTCCCAGAACATCGGTTACATATGCAGAGATTGCTGCAAGGGTCCACCGAGAGGCCGCCGTTGCGTCCTCTTCCATTGTAAACATCGTTAACGCAAATGGAGAGAAAAACAGCAAACAATCACTTATCAACAAGTCAAGACAAATGAGTACCATACCTTGTAGATCGATTAAAAAGGGATCCAACAACAGTGCCCGGACTGTTGTATGCTCAAATGTTCCTGAATCTACCGCCATCACTTTGCGGGATAAGTTATCAGACGACCAAGACCAATGGAACTCATTGTGTATGCAGATGAGTATCAAAGCCAAGCCCGTAAACTTGTTACGAATTACTCGTCATCCGAACTCGCCACACTATGGTGAACCCAGACTTATTCGAGTAACTCTAGAATCCTCAACCGACGTGGAAAATGTTTTGCTCTCCGCAAGCGCGCTAAAACACGAATCCTGTGCGATACGTATCTATCCTGATGTCCCTTGGAGCGCGCGACAATCAAAAAGAAACATCGAAGAGGGGCACAGCAAGCAAGACCGCCTAAACACAGTCTTCATACATGGCGTGCCAGAACATCCTTCTAACGATGTTCAAGATACCGGAAAGCACGATTTAGAACAGTGGCGGTTCATTCGTGAAACACTTTCTTTGGATGATGTTGTGGCACTATCGCTCACTAGGATACCTCTCTCATCGAATTATAGAGGATGCGGACCTAGAATCCTAAAACTTGTGGTTCAGTCAGAGCAACAAGCAAAGGATGTTTTGGATCGATGGCGAAGAAATCGGAAACATCTTCCTTCCGAAATTCGGTTAAAGGTCGCAAACAATTCGCACAGCTCAAGTATTAAAGCAACTGAAGCAGCAAGCATACCGACGGATGTACAGAAGTGTAACTTGACTGCTGCTTTAATTGACTCTGAAGTAGGTTTAAACGAAGGCTGGGACGCACCTTGGCCGAATCAAGTCGCAAACGAGGTATCATTGACCCATCAAAAAAACGAATAACTGCCGACCTCCCATCGGTCGGCATTCTCCCACACTTGACAGCTTCACCTCTCTGCGGGCTCCTAGAGACCGAGAAACTGGCCTGCTTGTATACAAATGCTCAGGGACTTTCTAACAAACTGGCTGAACTGAAAGATCGCCAAGCTTCCGGCTCGTATGATGTCATTGGTATCACCGAGACATGGTTGCACACGGGAATGACGGACGCTGAAGTGTCGCTACCCGGCATGTCGTTGATCCGGAACGATAGGCTCACAAAAGGAGGAGGGGTAATCCTGTACTACCGAAACGACTTACAGTGCGAAGCCGTGGAGGATTCAGATTCGCAGTTCCCCGACTCTCTTTGGTGCCGGTTGCAGTTAAAAGGTAGGGACGCTTGCCTTATTATCTTGGTGTACCGCGCCCCTAACTCAACACCCGAAACCGACTACCACCTAATGGCTGCTTTAAGGTGCAGTTTACAACCAAAGTACACTCACATTCTTATCATGGGTGATTTCAACGTACATTGTTTAGAAGCCCCTGCCACAACCGGCGAACAATTCAAAATCGATTTACAAGATCTAGTAACTACTGCTCCTCTTTACAACCACATCACTTTGCCCACTCGGTTCAGAACTGGTAACCGGCCATCTGTGTTGGATCTTGTGCTTACCAACGAAGAGCATATGATTGATGCGTTGGTTTTAGACTGCCCGTTGGGTCGCAGTGATCACGCAGTCATCAGTTTCAACTTCGTCTGCTATGCAGAATATCGGAATGATAACGATGATACTGTGCGAACCATCACAAGGTACGACCGACTCGCCCAGCTAGTCAGCGCCACAACATGGTCTTTCCTCGAAGAAGAACCCCCAGAACTCGCCTGGCTCGAGTTCGTCAACACATTCAGTCAGCTGATTGCACAGGCTTCAGAGATAAAAGCTTACAATAAGTGCAAATCCGTTTCTTTCGTTAGGAGCAGAACCCGAAAATGGATGACAGTACGCAATGCAGCATGGCGAGTGTACAGAGAAGCTCCAGCACCAGAAACGTGGGACAACTACGTAGCCCAACGTAACCACTGCACTCAACTGTTAAGAGAAGACAAAGCCGCCTATCAGCAGAACATCGCAAAAACCTTCAGTGCTAACCACAAACTGCTGTACAAGCACGTTAATAGCCTACGAAAGGTGAGGCAAGGATTTCCTCCACTCAAGACGGCTGACGGCCCAACAAGAACGTCTATGGAAGCTGCAAACGCGCTGCAGATGCAATACGCCCCCACGTTTCAAAGGGTCTTGCCACCAAGCGATCTACCAAGCTTTGTATTCTGCTCACCAGGACTAACCCACATCAATTTTACCGCAGAGGCTGTATTGCAAAAGCTGACCTCTCTACGCAAACACAGCTCGCCGGGTGTCGACGCCATTCGTCCTGAGGCATTGGGAGTAGCAGCAAACCAACTGGCAGGACATTTAGCTCAGTTTTTCCAGCACTGCTTAGACCAGAACCAAGTTCCCGCCATGTGGAAGCTTGGAATAATAAGCCCGATTCACAAAGGTGGAAGCAGATCTGATCCCTCCAACTACCGCCCAGTAACCCTTCTTCCTATACTCTCCAAGGTCATGGAATCCATAGTTGCCGATGCACTGGTGTGCTATCTGGAAAACTGCAACCTCATCACTCCTGAACAGCACGGTTTCCGTCGACAGCGGTCATGTACAACTAATTTACTCATTGCACGCAGTAGTTGGACCGAGGCAGCCGACGCTGGAGAAGGTGTTGATGTGATATACCTGGATTTTTCCAAGGCTTTCGATCGTCTAGACCATCGGATACTACTATCCAAGCTGCAGCATTACGGGATCGGAGACCCTCTTTTAAGCTGGATCGCCAACTTTCTATTTCAACGGCAATTAGTGGTCAGAGTTCGGAGCTCTTTATCGGACCCCATACAAGTCGAGTGTGGTGTGCCGCAAGGCTCGGTTCTAGGTCCACGTTTGTTTCTGGTGTTTATTAATGACCTTGCACAGGGAATCGCTTCAAACTTCCTAATGTTTGCCGACGATATCAAGATCTGGCGCAGGATCCAGGCGAACGCCGACCAACATGTGCTCCAAAGTGACTTAGATACAGTGTATCAATGGTCGATCCAAAACTTATTGCATTTCAACGTCAGTAAATGCAAGGTGCTTTCCATCCGACATCAGGGCAGCTACTCATACCGACTCGGAACGGATGTACTGCAACAATCAACTCTCGAACGTGACTTGGGTGTCCTGGTTCAAGATGACTTGGGTTGCTCCAGGCAATCGGAAAAGGCCTCGAAGACCGGGAATCAACACGTTGGGCTGTTGAGGCGGGCGTTTGGACAAATAAACAGCTCCATATTTCGACAAATGCTCAGTGCGTATGTTCGCCCCCATGTCGAATACGCAATTCAAGCCTGGCATCCATGGCTGAAACACGACCTTAATGCACTGGAGCAGCCTCAACGCCGCGCATCTAAGAACGTAACTGGAATGCGCAATCTGTCCTACCAGGAGAGGCTGCGACGACTAGGATTGTTCAGTGGAAGCTATCGCAGGCTACGAGGCGACCTGATTATGACATACTTGATTCTGCGAGACCCTCATCATGTGTGCCGCCCTTTACTGCAACTCAGCAGCAATACAAACCTGAGGGGCCACTCATTAAAACTCGCAGAACAATACAGTCGTCTGGAGTGCCGCAGAAATTTCTTTTCCATCCGTGTCTGTCACCCGTGGAATGCTCTCCCAGAATCGGTCGTCTCTGCACCGACACTAACAATATTTAAAAGACGGTTGGACGATGCACTCATCCACTTACACTTTGTTACTTAACACTACGTCTCCATCCTACACCTGGAGTTTACCCTGGAATTATTTGTTGTTAACTGTGGGTGTTGTGAATCTAAGTGGATCGCAGGACTGCAGCGAAGCAAACGATAAGTCCTTATTTTCGTATTTAAAGTGTTAACTATTTTACTATCCTTTTCATCATAATTATTATGTTGATATCCCCACCAACTATCCAACGGGGCTTGTAAAGCAACGCTTCTTAACCCGTATAAATTCATTGTTCATTGTTCATGAGAAGCAGTTGGTTGACTTGTTCAATTACATATCGGAACTTGGTACTTTTGATAAGGTTGTAGGTGGAGATTTCAACCTACCAGATATCTGTTGGTCAAACTTAGTAACAAACGCGAAACCTGCTGAGTTCATAACCTCCGTCACCACTGGTGGTTGGGAGCAACATGTTCTCGTGGCTACCAGGGGTACAAATATACTAGACCTACTTTTTACCTCAGGCACCTCCCAGAATGCTACTGATGTAATTGACGGTCTCCCTGGATGTGATCACCAAATAGTCGGATGTAAAATTATAGCTGAGTCGTCGCATGTGAGGTCTGCGGTGGTTGCACACTTCCTTCAAAATGTAAATTGGGTAGATTTCTCCACTTTGCTTAGGGTCCAAAACTGGGACCATTTCTTTCTTTCGACTGACATTAATGGAGCCTCTGAGATCTTCTATGACAATGTGACTATTTGCTTAAGCATACTTGCCTCCTGTGATAATACGAGAGCCTTTTCTAAGTACGCTAACAAAGCAAAGGACAAGCGGGAAATGCGAGTGCTAACTCCAACATATGAACGTACTCACGACTTCAGTGTATTACTGAGACTCCAACGCCTAATAATAGAGACGGACATGAAAGACCACATCCGTCTCATGCAGGAAGAACGACGGGCTGTAAATAGTAGTAATACAAGTCAAATGGTGACTGCATTACTGAGAAAAAGGAGAGGCACCAAAACTGACCTACCCTCCCACGTCTTCATGCGTGAAGGCGAATGCATTGATTCCTCAATTGTCATGGCAGAAGCCTTTAACTCATACTTTGTTAGATTCTTTAATCTTGAAAAAGAAACCCTGGAATTGTCAACCTCGTTTCAGTTCTCTGGACAAGTCTTAGCGATCGAGCTTAGTGTCGCGACCATAAAACGTATGAGTACCAGTCTACGACCATATTTCAGACATGGCCCCGATGGGATCTCTTCTGCTTTAGTCAAACACGGTGGAGATGATATCCCTCTTATATTATTGAATATCTTCTCTTTGTCTCTCCAGTCTGGTCAATATCCTGAATGTTGGAAAACGGCTACGATTATATTGCGACATAAGTCTGAGTCGAAAAATGACATCCGGAACTACCGCCCCATTAGTCACACAGCCATTCTCTCACGCATGCTAGAGAGAATTGTTAAGGAACATTTGGTTTCGTTCGTAATATCGCACAAATTTCTCTCACCTTCACAGCATGGCTTTTTGAAGTCCCGCTCGTGTGTTCCCTGTCAAGTTGACTTCCTTAAGCATCTAACTGAAGCACTTGACTCTGGTCTTCAGTGCATTGTCATCTTCATCGACATGCAAAAGACTTTTGACAGAGTCCCACACAAAAAGCTGCTATATAAATTAAGTAAGTACGGTGTTACCAATCCGCTTAATTCTTGGATCCAATCGTACCTAGTAGGACGGTTATAAGTTATGGATATCAATGGTTACATCACTTCACCTCGTCTAGTCACCAGTGGAGTGGTACAGGGCAGTGTCTTAGATCCGTTACTTCCTACTGTATATAAATGACCTGGTTTCTGTTATACAATTTGGGAAGCCTTATTTGTTTGCCGATGATTTAAATGTGGTTAACACGTTCCCAGATTCTCAGTGTACCGCTGATATTAACAATATCTAAAGCTACTTGAAAGCCATTGAGGGACGGGCTGATAGGTGGCAGATGATGTTTGCAACATCGAAGTATAGTATTCTGGCGTATGGATGTCAGATAGCAGCAGAAGTGTTCAGGCTTCATGACGAAGTCATTCCCACCAGCCAGTCTGTTCGTGACTTGAGTTTGAGATATTCTAGTTCGTTAAAGTTTAGCGAACATACAAATCATATCGTGAAAAAGGCTAAACGGTCGGTCGGGCTCATATGCCACCTGCTAACCTTGAAAGAAACCAGACTAATTGCTTTCAAAATCAGTATCAGGCAGTTGCTTGATTGTTGCTATGTTACGTTCAGTAATTTGAGAAAGGCTGACTTGAAAGCCATTGAAAACGTCCAACGCGCCTTTACGAAGCGCATATTTGGCTATTCAATCGCTCTTTCATACAGAGATAGGTACAAGCAGTTGAATGTTGAACCTCTGTGGTTCCGAAGAATGCAATTAAATCTGTGCTTCCTCCACAAACTCGCGTGGCGGAAAGCATATGTTGGAAACTATCAATTGCACTTTCGGGAAAATACCAGTTATGAACTGCGAGATAGTGAATGTATATTCTACTTACCTAAATTCAAGATCAGCCTAAGGAGAAATTTCTATCTTCTTAGGTGTGGCTCCATATGGAATAAGCTGCCAAAAAAGATTAGATGTATTGAACATTTTTGTATGTTCAAGAAAATGGTAAAGGCTTATCTGTCCACAGATAGAGCGAAATGGATCTTAAAAATTCAACTTGATGAACAAAGCTGTATGAAGGAAGGCCGGATCATGTATGATACCGGAGAACATCGACTCGAATGCACCAGAGAAAACATGATCAGCTAGGATGAGCTGCTACAAACCGCTTCTTATGCTATTCTTTAATGCTACCTCCTATACGGTTTTACTCCTTTCAAACTTAATTCATACCAACTGTCTTCTGTTTAAAACCGAGAGCAAACTTATTTTCTGGTGTGGCGTCAGGAACTGTTTTCGTAATTTCCCCCACAAGCTGATTAATTCGTAATATTTTTCTCCGATCCCCTTCGCTACATTTTGCTGCAGTGCTAATCATTTCCCCTTCTTTTCTGAAGTTAACAGTTCAGAAACATATACTTGAATTCAATGATGACAATAACGGATTCCCTATGTGACTTTTGCCTATGGTTAACTCGTATAGTTATCTGTCTCCGACTGTCACGCCACACAATTTGATCGTATGACCGACTCGATCCACTTTTACGCTGATGTAAAAAATACCTGCCTATTTTTTAAATTAACGATATAGTACCTCTTTCACATAATTCTTCTTTTCTACATTCTTCCTTATTTCAATGTTGGACACGACTGGGCTGATCTCCTGTGGTGACGTATTATAGCTTCCAGATAATAAAAGACTTTACCTAAGCAAGGCGCATTGCCACAAATTGACTGGCGTATAAAAACGCTTCATAACTGAATGATCCGCATGACGGACTGGGCTGAGGCATCATCTATCACAATACATGTATAAAAGCAGCTCTAAAAAGAACACAACATATGATACATAGGTGATGGCTCATTTGCTGCTATGCCACACCGCAACGCGGTCAGGTATTGCATGGAAGTGCGGGCGAAACCATTCGAGGGAATACCTTGCATGGGAAGCAAGTCCCCTGAGGATGGTTCCACGAGTGGCGGTATTGCTTTAACTGGACATCTGTTTAAAGCTGCATACGTTATTGTTCCTGGTTTGTAATGTTCTAATGCCTTAATCCTTCCAATTACTTTGGTACCAGTTTTGGATCCATTGTAAAAAGCGTGAACAAATTGATTATTTTTTGCGATTTTGTTGTACACATTGAGCAGACCACATAGTTGGACTACACCTCGAATCACCGAGAAATGTACCGTTTATATATTTATTATTTATTCTCTGTAATCGGATATTTCTTCGGGTGTAAAGGCTGCATGTAATGGAGTTCGAATTGTTCGCCCTAGCATTAGCTCCAAGGGGGTCATTGCCATTGCAGAATGTGGAGTGGTTCTGTACACCTCCCATGCAGATACCAAAGCAACATCCAAGGATTCACCCGAAAGCCGAAGGACTTGTAGAGATTCTTTCAAAGTGCGATTAAGTCGTTCGACGAATCCATTCGCTGCAGGACTATAAGATACAGTCCTCGTGGGTCTGATACCATTACGCCTTAGGAATACAGCATAGTCGTTACTTCGAAAATGTGGGCTGTTTTCAGTGACTATTTCTTCTGACAAACCGTACCTTGCAAACAAACAACGGAGTCACTTTATGATGACGACTGTAGTTACATCACCGCATGGAATAGTCTCTGGCCATTTGCTGTAGAAATAGGTAGCCACTAGCACGTTTCGATTCTGCGAGGGTGCATTGGCAAACGGGCCTATAATATCGAAGTCAATTTTTGTCCATGGCTTCATTGCGTACACGATAAGTTCGACAAGATTATTCAGGGGTCTCGCACTCTTATCGGATTGTTGGCAGGCGTAACATTCGCGAATAATCGCATGGACGCCGGAATTCAACTTCGACCAATGATAGTATTGTCGTATCCGACGTTTTGTTCGTGCTATCCCTGCATAACCTTCATGCGCACATGCAAACACCAAAGGAATAAGGGTTGCAGCGACCACAAACCGCTCGCCTCTATTAAGCTCGTGCCGTTGGGTATAGTATGGAAGCAACTCAGGTTGGATCTTGGTCCGACTGGACCATGAAATGGATACGTACTCTCAAAGCTTCGCTAGGATAGGGTCTTTGTCAGTGTGCTCTCTTATCAGATCAAATGTTATTGTAGGTCTTCCGTCTGAGAGCTGCGATATCATTTTTACCTCATCTAATTCCTCGATTTCTCCTTCGTTGGACAGTGGGAGTCTCGACAGAGCATCTGCAAGTTGGTTAAAGCACCCTGGCACGTATTTTAATTCACAACCTTAGTTCCACAAACGCGAGTACAAGCGACTCAAGCGTACAGCTTTTGGCCTTTGTTACCGCTACTTAGTAGCGTTATAAGAGCAGAATGATCGGTGCGCAAAGTGAATCGACGTTCGAATAAAAGA